AATCACCTCCTGTCCCACCTCCCTGTTCCGCCGACTTCTTCAATCTTACCCTGCTCGGATCAAGGCGGTTTTTGAAGCACGAGGAGGACACACCGACTATTAAAATATGTGGCCTAGAATAGTCGATAGATGTGCTTTACAATGGTATACCATACATATGTGCAGCATTTTTGGTTTGGACTGTGGAGGGGGGCTCTATCTATATGGGACACCCTGTATAGGGGCGGAGATCTCATCCCCGCAAGGAAGTTATCCTTCCTCCAGCGGGGTGAAAGGGTACTCCGAGTTTTATAAGCAGAGGTATTTTATACGTCCCCGCAGGAAAGTTCGCATTGAGGTGTGAACATAAGAAGGGGGAAGGGGGGGGGGGTACGCAAGACGTACAATTCCTCGCTCTCCTGTTCTCGAGAATGAATCCGACAGCCGCAACGGCAGGAAAAAAGGTGCGAGTTTGAGAGAGCGAGACAGACAACCGGAGCCAGGTAGAAGGTGCCGCGCATGCGCACATGGCGCTTGCGGACATAAGATGCCCAAGCATAATGTATTTATAAAAGACAAGGATAGACAAATTAAAGCACCCCAATAGGTTGAGCTTTGTCCAGCATGTTTCTGTAGATTCCTGTAGAGCATCAGCTGTATCCAAACGTTCCTTTAAAAGTTATAGCCAATCAAAATAGGGTGGTGTAGGGTGGAGCAAACGGCCAATAATCCTGTCAGGAAAAAAAAGAAAATCAAAGGAAAAGAGAAATGAACCAATTTCAACCTCGCGTACTTGAAAAATATGTCCAAAAAAGATGGTATTTGCTGGTCATGATCAATCGTGATCAAAGTAAGAGTCCAAACGGCAGGTGTTATGGGAATGCTTGCTGAAAGTATAGCAAATCTCATGCAAGTCCAGCTGCTGGACTGCTTGATGGAGCATGAAAATGTTGCTGCCCCAACAAAAAGTCTGTCGATATCCGCAAGCAATAGAAACCATTCTCACCAGTGAGATTGCAGTGGAGCATGCAGTACAGCAAGAGGAGCCGAAGGAAGAAAAAATAGAGGCACTGGATTTCTGCCGGCTGGATCGGTTTTGAGCCCGAGCAGGAAGAGGGAAAAGCCGGCATAATTTTTTTTCCTTCCTCATTTGAGGAATAAAATTTAAAAAAGAAGAATTCCGTGAAAGCCCTGGCGGATTTTTAGATCGCCCCAGAATGGAAGATGGAAAATAGTGGATACGAAGGAAGGAGACAGCTAGGTTTTTAGGATGCCATGCTTGGATGAGCCTCGTTCCTCTGTGAGGACTGATCTGTGCGAGTCTGAAAGGTGCCTTCCATGTCTTCTCCTTTAATATTTGAGAATGACTCACTGCGCGGACTGCGTCAGATTCATTAAGAATTAGAATCCCCTCGTTTCTTGAATGTCAAAGAGCGACAAGGAACTCTTAGGGTGGATTTTTGAACAGATTATCGAATAGTTCGCGAACTATTCGAATCGTTCGAAAGTCCACTCCATGTCATTTTACCTTCTCGAACTCATACGAAAAGTGAAACGATTCTTGCAGTTGGCAGTCTTTAGAGCTGTTGCAAAGTTTCTCTGGCAATAATCGAAAGAAAGAGGACAACGAAGTCAACAGGTTAAAAATTGTGATGAATCTGTCCCACTTGCGTTTCTAGTTGTTTTTCATCTGATTCATGTCCAAGGGCACCCCTCAAGAGGAATTCATGCCGAGGCACGGGACAAGGACGAAAGAGAAAGACAAACAGGGGAAAGGTAACGCCTGGGGGTGGTGGCTGACACTGGCGAGACGAAGGAAAACCTGTTTTTTCTTTTTTTTGTGTCTCAAGTTATAAAAAAGCGGAGCTTCTGCTCCATGACCTTTTACTTCGTGTCTACAAGGTGCCTTAGTTGGATCTCTCCTCCTCGATCATCTCGGTATAGTTGAGCCCCTTGTTCATGTCCTTTCCTGGCACTCGTTATTGAAGTGTAACTTGAAGAAAGTTTTCTTATTTTTGAACGGTTTTAGGAAAAGGTTAATGGTCCTATTCGAGTTTAATGCATGAAGCCATCTTCATAGCTAAATGTTGACCCCATCTGCTCAGCATATCAAGTAGCATAATCGGGAGCCGCATCATAACAGATACAAGAAAATGATTAAATCGAAAGTTGTTCTCTCGGGGCGGCTGTCCCTATGTGTTGTGCATTCGTCTGCCCCATTTTCAGAAGTGAACATCGCCCCTCTGAGGCGTCGAGGAAAACGAAGACAAGTCTAAGCCTGGCGAAGATTAACTGCCACCCAATTACTTTCCTGACTTTACTAGCAGTGTTTGTTTCCATTCTCGATGGCGTTCAAGATGGTTTTGTTCCCTTCCACGGGAATTCAGGTTCACCTCTTCCAGGTCATCACTTCTGGAATAGCTTCCTATTTAATTTTTTTAAATAGCTTTCCTCCTAGAACGCTAAATTGCTTTTTTTTTTTAAAATAAATCATCTTAGATTTTTGGTTCTTACCCATCCCGTCGTCCGTTCCGTACGCTTTACACGTTCATGAAGAAAAAAATTTTCAGCTTGGTTTTCTGTCTTTCTTGCACTTCAGCTGACCCTTTCTCGTTTGGAATTGGCAAACCGGCTAGGAATTCTCGAGTAATTGATTGCTCGTGTTTCTACAATTGGTTCATGCAAGGTCACGAAACTCAGATGGAGATGTCGGCCTGGAAGTGATCGCCACGAGAGCTGCCCGAATCCGAAGTTCAGGGTAGAGTCCACAATTCATTTGGCTACAGTCTCCCTCTACCTGTCGGATGTTCAGGTTTGGTAGCCGCAATGCGAGTCCAAGCGGATAACTTTTTCCGCTCGATCTTTTCCAGGTGTCTTCAATGCGCAATGAGCTCTGGGAAAGCATGGGGAATGTATGAGAGATGTTGCATGTATACCCTGCAGGGTGTCTCCTAAATTTCTTGCATGTGTTGCGGATTCGGTTTTCTTAGTTTGTGCACTTTCATTTTCTTATGTTCATATTTTCTGTTCACGGTCTCTTATGGTCACATCCCATTATCCGGGGTCAATAACCGAAGAAAGACGCTGGATTTACCGGGTTTATCCCAGCAATATATTCATCGCATCTTTCACCTGCACCTTTCCTGCAAGGGGAAAACGAACGGTAAGTTGGATAGAAAACTTTCACTCAAAAATGGTGCAGAAATTTTTAGGAATACTTGGGACATGTTTCTGGTGTTTGGCTCTGCGATTGATATGGAGACCTCCGCTTGGCGACGAGTCTCGGATCCTCGATTGGTGCCATCCAAACTCCTCCCGTTTCTCTATTCACATTCATTCCTTTATCATTTAACCTCTTGATTGGCCATCTTAAATAGGATTTTCGTGACGGGAGCTTCAGTTGTACTATGTCGGCCTCAGGTGGTGTTATCCGTCCTGCATCGGTCTTTCAGGTCATGGCCAAAATCGAAAGAAAGGGTACGTTGTAATGGATTAAGGTTCAAAAGGGCATTTCCTCAAAAATTTGAAGACCATTTTTTGTTTCGAGTCAGGAGTAAATGATTGAAATGCCGGTGTCATGGGGCACTCGTGGAGTGATACACCATCTACCTTTGGATCCTCTCCATTCCTCCAAGACTGGGGGAAGCGCAAGTCCTGAGGTAGAGGATGCGATGCAACGTGTCATTCATGATCCTAGGTAGGAGTGGAGGTATGGAAGGTGATGCGACTCGTATTTATATCCTTGACAAAGGGGTAAGAGGCAACTACTCGAAGATTTGGTAGCCGCAACGAGCTCATTGATCATGGGGCGACAGTATCTTCCTGAAAATCTATATCACCAACTAATCATTGATGGGATAGTTAATTTCTGCCTTGTTTTCGCTTTTCGGAGCTCTAATATTCCTGATGCGATGTATGGGTTACAATGGATTCTTTCCCGATGCAGGAGTCGGGATTTTCTGCATTATAGGGAGACTGTACTAACCAACGGAATTGGGTATTCTACATGGATTTGCAAGGTGTTGTAGAATTTGATTATTTAACCAGTCCTGAAAATTTTATTAACACCGCTCGATCTTTTCCAGGTGTCTTCAATGCGCAATGAGCTCTGGGAAAGCATGGGGAATGTATGAGAGATGTTGCATGTATACCCTGCAGGGTGTCTCCTAAATTTCTTGCATGTGTTGCGGATTCAGTTTTCTTAGTTTGTGCACTTTCATTTTCTTATGTTCATATTTTCTGTTCACGCCCACTAGATCACATCCCATTATCCGGGGTCAATAACCGAAGAAAGACGCTGGATTTACCGGGTTTATCCCAGCAATATATTCATCGCATCTTTCACCTGCACCTTTCCTGCAAGGGGAAAACGAACGGTAAGCTGGATAGGAAACTTTCACTCAAAAATGGTGCAGAAATTTTAAGGAATACTTGGGACATGTTTCTGGTGTCTCGCGTGACGAAATGGAATAAAAATTCCGCTCGCTCTTCACAGATGGATATGAGATCCGGAATGGAATCCATTTGGTCTTTCGTGGCATGGGCATTTGGCTCTGCGATTGATATGGAGACCTCCGCTTGGCGACGAGTCTCGGATCCTCGATTGGTGCCATCCAAACTCCTCCCGTTTCTCTATTCACATTCATTCCTTTATCATTTAACCTCTTGATTGGCCATCTTAAATAGGATTTTCGTGACGGGAGCTTCAGTTTTACTATGTCGGCCCCAGGTGGTGTTATCCGTCCTGCATCGGTCTTTCAGGTCATGGCCAAAATCGAAAGAAAAGGGTACGTTGTAATGGATTAAGGTTCAAAAGGGCATTTCCTCAAAAATTTGAAGACCATTTTTTGTTTTGAGTCAGGAGTAAATGATTGAAATGCCGGTGTCATGGGGCACTCGTGGAGTGATACACCATCTACCTTTGGATCCTCTCCATTCCTCCAAGACTGGGGGAAGCGTAAGTCCTGAGGTAGAGGATGCGATGCAACGTGTCATTCATGATCCTAGGTAGGAGTGGAGGTATGGAAGGTGATGCGACTCGTATTTATATCCTTGACAAAGGGGTAAGAGGCAACTACTCGAAGTTTTGGTAGCCGCAACGAGCTCATTGATCATGGGGCAACAGTATCTTCCTGAAAATCTATATCACCAACTAATCATTGATGGGATAGTTAATTTCTGCCTTTTTCGCTTTTCGGAGCTCTAATATTCCTGATGCGATGTATGGGTTACAATGGATTCTTTCCTCTACGTCCTCAGCCCTAAAAGACGTAATATCCCTCTGACATGATTGGTTGCCTTAACCCATAAGATGTACCTAAACGTTCCACAACATCTTAAACTAATAAATTGGTCAGGACTTTTAAAATAATTGGAGAAACAACTCCCAGAGCAGAAATGGGAACGCTTTTCGCCCAGTATAGTGCGCAGTGTATGGAGAATATTATTTGGGTGCAGGTGTCATTAAAGCAGAAAATTTGGCGAGCGAAATGAGTGGGTCCTATTGCTGGGAGATTGGATTTGTGCTTCTTGATGCTCGTCTCCAAGCGGTTTTCTTCGGGAAATACCATCCCAAACAATACGATGTTCCCTAGTGTTTCCATTCTAGTTCTCATTTACGGGAGTCCTGCGGTCGTCATGCTGCAGAATGATGACGTCAGGTCTCTTTTGCACAGCGTTGTCATGCTGCAGAATGGCATCGCTGGTGCTCTTTTGTTCTCCACGTCATTTGTGTTCAAAAAGTAAGGTTTGGGAACCTCGCTTCGTCATTCTGCTTTATTACGCATTTTGCAAAATTGTAATTGGTATTTCCAAAAAGGACTTTCCGAATTAAATTCATCGAGTGGTGATCGCACTTATTCGAGAGCATATGTGCGTTCACAAGTAAATTTTGGATGTTTACTTCAATTTTCTGGGGACCTTAACATACGCCCATCCAAAATCAGAGGTATAGTATGTGGAGGGTTTGAGTTGAATTTATCAAGGAATCGCCTGGCTTCTTTAAAAGATGGACTGGAAGTTTGAGGCTTTACGATTAAGATAACCTTGCTTTCTCTTAGTTTTTTTTTTTTAACTATGAACAGGAATGAAAAGGAACCAGTCGAACGCTGCAAGTTAAGGAATGCTTATATAGGTGTTAAGGGTTTTAGGTGAACCCTTTCGTTATGACCTCTTTTGACAGGTTAAAAAAAAAAACTTTACATTCAGTCCCAGGTTTCTGTGGTCAGTTCCTTTTAATTTGTAGGGTTTACTAAACTAAAAAAAAAAATTGGATGTCTGTGATATGTTTGCGGTTTATTTTAGGACAGGCTTTGTCAGTTGAAGACGTAATATCAAGTGGAACTTCTCGCCCTCCAATTAGGTCTGTTCTTTCTTCCGCCGTTCTTTCTTCTTTCGTCGAGTCATTCAGGAGTGTTCCAGGTAAATGCCCTCCGATGTCTTGAATGCTTCCCTGCTCTTTTAGATCATTTTGTGGCGAAAATGACGGCTAAGGTACAGGTCGAGTCTACCATCTCATTTGGCAACAGCGTTCCCCTGTCCATCGATATTCAGGTTTGATGGGGATAAACGTAAGTCTTGGTTCATTTTTTCTCAATTGCATTTGGTGTTTCGGTGTAATGCCGATATGCAACGAGCTTGAAAGTATGGGGAATGGATGGAAATGGAATGATCTGCTGGAAGTTAGCTGAAAATCCTACATATTATCTCGTAGATTAACTC